CAACAAGTTTTTGGCGCCGCTGCCGGGGACTTAGAAATTAACTATTTGTCTAAGTTATATTTTTTCTTTTTATTTATTTAAGTTTTGTTTTTATAAGTTTTTTTTTTAGTTTTTTTTTCTTAACAATTTTTTTTTCTTTTTAATAATTTGATACTCTTATTGATATGGATGATTGGGATAAATCGTGGTTGGTTGATGGATGTCCTTTATGTGATATATGTGGTCGTCAATATATTCATTGGAATGGTTGTCCTAAATCTTATTCCCTTCCCCCGAACCCCTATTATGATTCTTTTGTTATTTGTGATGTTGGTAGGGGTGATGAAGTGGAGAATGCAAAACAAGAGGTGCGCAATGTGAATTCACTTATGGAATGTACGGACATGCTGGACAAAGTTAATTCAAAAATCGTTAAACAAATGTTTGAATGTGTGGAAGAGCAAAAAAATAATCACGAAACTGTGAGATGCGCTTGACGCTATTCAATTTGAAATTACTGTCCTAGAGATTGCAGCCCAACAAAGAGAAAGCTATGAAGAAGCAGAGATAGTGAGCCAATCTTGGCTACAAGAACAAACTCAACATCTAAAGTTTCATGAGTCTATCCGTGATGGTCTGACATACATGATAAGCCAGCTGATTGAAGGAAGAGTTGAGCTCACACAAGAAATAGATCAATTTGGCTTAGATATTCATGACTTGGAGACTCACTTGAACAAAAGATTGAGGCGTCTGATGCCCAATTATCAATTGTCGTGGATGATGATCAACAAGCGAAGCAAAAAGAGAAATTTCAACCATTAAACTACACCTTATTCCTTAATATCGATGTTGAGAAAGAGTACAAAAGTGAGAATGTTGTAAATAATGTTGCTTTGGAGTTTAGGCAATTTGAATCTCATTCAAAACACTTTTCTATAAAATTTGAACTAATGGATGAGTGCATTGATGAGGAACAAGACCCCTACATTCTAAAGTTTTTTAGTCCACGTAGACAAAACGACATTCCTCACCTAAGGGCCAAGAAGTGCAAGATGCAACATATATTACTTGGTTCCTTTTATCTTTATACCACCACCCCTTGAGAGGAGCAGAAAAATTGATGCAAAGTTAGGGGTAAAATTCATAAGTTCAAAGTGGAAAGAAAAGTGGTGAATTTATTTGTGTCGTGCCGCGACGTTAAATTAGGCGCTTATTGGGAGGCAACCCAATTTATAGTGTAACTTCTTATTTTTATTTTTATTTTTTATTATTATTATTTTATTTTTGTGTTATTTTTACAGGTTTTTGAGAAGTCTGAGTATCCAGAATTTGGAGCTAAGGAGCACGTTTGAGCTTAAGTGTAGGGTGACAACCCTTGATGAAAATAAAGAGAGCCTGCTACTAGCTAGGCTTAAAGGCCTCAGGAAGTTTTTCTAACCCTTGTTTTAAATTTTATTTGATGTTTTGGGGACATAGCATCTTTTTAAGTGTGGGGTGGAGTAATAAATTTCTAGTTTTTATTGTTTTATTGAGTCTTTTAATTTTTTAGGATGGGTTCCTTGGCTTTTGTTTCCGGTTCTTTTCCTGAGGATAGTCCCTTTGAACCGAGTATCTTTTATTTTTTTAGGAATAATTTTTTATTTTTTTGAGAGAAAAGAAAAGACCATTTTGAGTGGTGTGATACTAGCTATTTAGGTCTAATTTTTTAGTAGTACGTTCTTGTGAATGCTTGATTAAAAACTGATAAAAAAAATGCAGACTCTTTGACACCTAAGCTCATGGTTGTGACTTTGTATATAATTTATTTTATTTTGTAGTTTGTTATGATCTTGTCTCTCTTAGAAGTGGAATTGATCCATCTTGATTGATACGTGTGCCATGTGTGGTGAGAATTTCTTTATTCCATGTTTTGCATTTCAGTCTACAACTTGCCCTGCATGTTATTGAAGCGAAATAAAAAAGTGTTGATTTTCTTAGGAGATGATAATAGGTTTTCTTTGATTTGTCTGGTAAATTTTAGCATTTTTAGATATTATATCACTAGTTAGCCTTTTTGAGCCTATAACCTTTTGTTGGTAGCCATATTTTGCCCTTGACTATTTGTTGAATCCCCAGTTTTTGCACCTTGCTTCCTTGAGCATTATAGCATAGACTTATTCTAATTATCAATTTTGAGAAAAAGGGATGGTTGAGTGAAAAAGTAATCAATGATAGATACAAAGTGCTTAAAAAGCCCTCTTTGAAAGAATGTGATGTACAAAAAAAAATGAACAAAAGAAGTTACCTTGATGATGGCCCTGGTCCTTCCAAAGACATTGTGCACCTTAATGCATGTAAAGTTGAGGGTGGCTATTATGAAGGAAAACTTAAAAAAAATTATAGAAACATTCTTGAGATGATGAGAATTACCTGTGAAATAATTGTTGAATAGAGGGCTGAAAATAAAGAAGAAGTGCAAAGTGATGAAGTCTTAAAGTGCAAAGTGCTTAAGGAAGTGTAAGTCACTATTATATAGATTTCCTACCCGTCCCCTAGCCTACATTACAACCCGTTAAAGTCTTATTTGATCTATTCGAGCATGCTTAATTAGTGGAGATGTACATAATGGGCAAGCATATGGTTTTTTGTGCATACATGTGAATTTTCTTTGTGAGTGTGCGAGTTGTTCTTGATATGAAGTCCTTAATTTTATATTCAATCTTTTGAATTGAGTGTGTGGACTATTTCTTCTTGTGAGGGCACTTGTTCATGATGGATAAGTGATTTTATTAACTTTCTTTGATGAGAGTAGACGAGCAAGCTTAAATTTGATGAGTTCAAAGTCTTTCCTTGTGATAGGAGGTTACAAGTTTGTTGTTTATTTGGATGTCTTGCATAATGATTGAGAAGAGTACTTGGTGTTTTGAAATTGGTGTATGGACCAATTGTTTGTATTAACCCAAGTGATGACATTCCTAGTATGATTTTTGAGATGAACTTTAATGTTTGCTCGAAGACGAACAAATTTAAGTGTGGGGTGTTGGTGTGAGGCCAAAAATATATAATTTTAATTATTATTTGCCTCACATTTATTATTTATATCTATCCTTTTTGTAGCATTAATTTTATGGATTGTGCTAAATAGTGT